AGGAAAAAGATGTAGATGAGAGCTAGAATTGGCTAAATGGAATCAATTACATTCAGTAATGGCAAAGTCTTGGTTCAGGCTTGTAGCAGTGATAGAATAAACTCCAGGTTCAAATCAAGTCTCTGGAGTACATCCCCAGCTGGGATGGGTCATCAGTCCTTTGTTCAGAGCTTCTATTTGTAGCAAAGTCCCTCCAGAGGTAAGAAGCAAGATTGAAAACAAGATGGAGATGAGGCATCAGCCTTTTATAGTCTTTTCCAGGTGTAAGAACACCTCTTTGTTCTTACTGTAGAAAATTACAGCAAAATGGAGTCTGGAGTCACATGGGCAAGTCCTTGCATACTTTGCTGAGTCTCAAGGCATATTTGCCTTCTCTCAGTGGGTCAGTTGTATAGCTGATGGTCCTTAATGGGCCATCAAGCAGGCTGGGCAGAGCTTCTGATGTCACCCAGCAGCATAGCATACGTTTGAAACACAGACAGTATGGAGCCAATATTCATAACTTCAACTACAAAATTGATACACACATATAGATACCATAATCATAACCAGCAAACCATAACCTCTCCATAGACCCCTTTTATACAAGATTTGGTGCCACCACAGGACCTTGGTTGCAACCATGTTTTATATGGTCCCAGTTCAAGTCAATAACGTGACAATAAGTCACCCTGAATCGTGGCATTCTCATTCAGAAACACTTTCTTATTATCTTGAAGCAAATAAGATCAGTGACTGCTAACCGAAACAGGCTGTTCTCTTGACAGTCTGTGGGTCCAAGATATTTGACATTCATTATAAGATCACTCATTGCACCTGCTTTGCCCAAGACCAAGACATACGACAAAATCGTAGCTTTGCTGAAGTCACATTTCTCACCTATGCCATCTGTAACTGTTTGGAGATTTCAGTTTCATAAACGAAATCATTGAGCTGACGAGGGCATCGCCGCCTATATTGCCAAGCTGCATCGCATCACCAAACATTGTAACTTTGGTAATTTTTTCACCAACATGCTGCAATATCGCCTTGACTGTAGAGTTCAGGAGAAAGCACTTCAATGTCATCTCCTTGGGGAGCCAAATTTGACATTCACCATCCCTCAGGAAAAGGCCTTGAATGCCGAAACAGCATCATTGCACACTGAGGAAATTTGTGTCATGGCAATCAATATGAATGCTGTACTTCACAATCAGAAATCATGGACAAATTCAGCGGAACAATGGGAACTCAATCACATTAATGTCATCGGACAAGATTAATCACCTGAACATCTGCTCAGGCTGAGGGGGACAGCATCAACACTCTGCTTGGAAATTCAAAGGCATAAAGTGCCATTTCTGCAAAAAGAAAGGTCACGTTGAGAGAGTCTGCCAATCAAAGGTTAAAAGCATGAAACAAAAGGACAATGACCAGTATTCTCATCCTTGTGCATCAGACATACTTGATGCTTCCTTCGAAAATGATATCAAGAGGCTTTCTACATTTAGAGCCATCCACAACAAGGAATCTTGAGGTTCTGAAATATTTGCAACAGTGCTTATCAATTATCATGAGTGCAAAATGGAAGTCAACTCTGGTTCTGCAGTGTCAATCATCCATGAAGACACATTCGGTCAGTTTTTCTCGCACTGTCCTCCCAGTTTGTCAAATCCATTGTGCAGCCTTCAAGACTACAATGGACAAAATGTTGACCTCATTGGAAGCTGTAATGTGAATATTTGCTATGGCTCTTTCAATGCAAGATTGTCTGTCATCATCACAAAAGGTCAACATAAAAGCGTCTTAGGCAGGAACTGGTTCACACAGTTGGGAATCAACATGCAAGGCATCTATGCCATCAACAAAGAGTAAATAAGAAAGATCACTGATGAATTCCCCCAAGTGTTTTCTGAAGAATTGGGAGATTACAGGGGACCTCCAGAGTTGTTTCACCTGGATCCGACAGTCGTGCCAATCCACATAAAGGTTGGGAATGTACCATTTGCCCTACGTCCCAAGACTGACACAGAACAAGAATGTCTCATTGCAGAGGGAATCT